CGGCAGAATTGGCCCATAAATTCAATTTTTTACAATTTACTTTAATACAATTACTATTTTTATCACAATATTATATAATATATATATAAATAAATATAATAACATCAATGATATTTATTAACAACTCAAGTGATTAAAAAAACTTAATAATTAATAATTAATCTAGATTACAAATAAATTTATGTAATATATTGACAAAACATTTATTTATCATATATTATTATAAATTAAATTTTATCTAGTTATTTTATATTTATTATTGTTCTCAGGTGGCTCATCCCATGATCAGACAACAACTGCTCGATTTTTTGTATCAAGGTTTTTTAGTTCCTGTAATGGGTCCAGCGCTTTTGCAGGTATGAGAACATTTATTGTGTTTTTTCTTTTCGATTTTGCAAAGTCTTTTTGGGATTTGTTTTGCTTATCGACACATTTCGGGAGAAAAATGTAAATATACAATATGATAATATTGTATTGGAAATATTTCGGTGGTATATGTTGCTATTAAATGTAAGAGGTAAATAAAAAAGAAAACAGAGTAAAGGAATTATATTAAAAGTAGTAATAAAATATTATTTATTGGCGACGTTTCAGATTTTTGTACACATCATTTCTGAAGATGGATCGTACTTAATTCCAAAACGTCGATAATAAAAAGTATTTTTTTAAAAAACTGTTTGGTTTACTACTATTTTGTTTCCATTGCATTTTTTGTTCTAAATGAAATTTTAAATGTTCACAGACAATAAATGTAAAATTGGTAAATGTATGGTAATTTTCTGTTGCAAAAGAAATCCACATATGCTTCAGCAACATGCTGCTTATTTTCATATATATATATATATATATATATATATATATATATATATATATATATATAATATATATATATGGGATATATAAATTTGTTTTCAATATGACAAACACATGTATATTTAGAAATTTATTCATATTTTGTACATATTTTATATTTGTATCTGCCTCTATTTATGTAACTGTATGTGCACCAAATTTTTCTACTGGTCTTTCCATCAAATTTGAATTTGAAATCGATTGAGGTGGGTGGCGGTGTTAAAGAGGTTTATGGCAAAATTTATGTTTATCATGCAAACTTTTATTTTATAACATATCAGCAAAATCAAAATAGGTTGAAGTAATTTTCGTGTTGAGGTTTGAGGTTTTTCTAAAAAAATAACACTTGGAATCATTCATCATGCAAATCATCTCATTGATAACTAATTCAACTCAGAATTCATGGGGCATAACATAGCGTTGTCATGGCAATGTTATCTTATGTTTGTTTATTGGCAGTGAAAATGGTAAAAATGTTTATCTATTTGCTGTGCGACCAGGTGTATTTTACAAATAAACAAGCAAGGAAGAATGTTATGATAACAGAATCGTCAATGACGCAGTTATCATAAGATGCTTCCTTGCTTGTTTATATGTAAAATGCGCCTGGTCGCACAGCAAATAAATAAACATTTTCACAATTTTTACTATCAATAAACAAGCATAAGATAGCGTTGCCCCATCATTCAACATATATTAAACATTTTCCATGTTTTTATAAAATTCTTGAAATGCTTTTTAAAAATAACAAAGCGCACATAATATTTGTTTCATACTCATTTTGCTATTGTTAAGATAACTTTTGTCGGTTTTAGCTTTATTTTCATTTTTTAAGGATTGGAATATTTAGCCATTTGTATATAGCTTAAAATAATTTGATAACTAATAATAGATTAGCACTGAATAAAATTTGATCTTCTGAGGAAATTTAACCATTCTCCTATTAATATTAAGAGATATTTATAATTTTGGATACATAATTAACGTGGATAAAAGAAGAATAAATAGATCGCAAACACGGCCGCTTTGTCGTGCTTCAATTTTAATTCTTTCCGCTCTCCATAGAGTGCTCTCCATAATAGAGGCGCCACCGACTTAGATTTATTTAAAGAAAAAGAAAAACTTGATTAATTCGAACAAATGATATTAGAACATTATATATACAGTAGAATCCGCTTAGTATGACATTCGAGGGACGGCGAAAAATCGTCATATTAAGCGGTCGTCATACTAAGCGTACTGAAAAAAAAAAACAATTTTTGGCGAATATGTTATTAATTTCAGTAATTTAATACAAAAATTAAGGTAAAAAATGACACATACTAACAAATTGACAAATTTAATTAAAAATATGACATAACAATGCATTTTTTAATGTAAAAATCTGTAATTTTTGTTTGAGTTTTAATTACTGGGTAAAAATAGTAAAAAATATAGAACTTTACTAATTCAGTAAATTATAGCAGATGTTATCGCTTCCAAATTTTGAACACCAAGAATGAGCCTACTTATTTTTTGCACGAGGTCGTCCATGCCGGAAGTTGCCAAAGTTTCCATAGCGCGAATCTCGTGCAACATAGAGACCTGTGGGTATGTGGGTAGGTATGTAGCGACCTGACACACAAGGGTAGTTCACAGTGGTGCCATACCATAACAATGTGCAATGAAAAACATGAACTCTATGTTATCGGAGGTGTAAAATCATGTCGGTCATTATACTTGGACCAAATTTTTTTTTCAAAAATGGGTCATTATAAGCGAAATGTCAATGTAAGCGAGGTCAACATATCCGACTAGACAGCTGTTTTTTTAAGAAATTTTATATGGAAACCAAACTGCCTTTAACTTTACGTCATAATAAGCGGTTGTCAATATATCCGGCGTCATACTAATCGGATTCTACTGTATATATCTGTTACTTTGGCCCTCTGTTGAGTGCGCAAAACACTAAACCAGGGTAAAGCACATTTGTTCTGTATTTACACACCATGAAAATTAACCAGGTGTAATTGTCATTTTTCCTTAATAATAATTTTGCTTTCATCGTGAACTAAGGAATGCGATTTCTAATTGATATACAAAATTATAGTATGTTTTCTTATAATTTAACCACTTGTCTTAGGCCTATAATATTTTAGGATTTTCTCAAAAACAACACAGTATGATACTATTTTAAAGTAGAGAACAAATAATATTTGAGGGAAAAAATTATTTTCGTTATGTCAAAAACAAGTAGAGAGAGTATGATATTTTTTAAAGTAGAGAGCAAATAACATTTGCGGGAAAAAATCTGTTCATTATCTCAAAAACAAGAAAGTATAGCATATTTTGTTGATACTATTTTAAAGTAGAGGGCAAATAATAATATTTGCAGAAAAAAAATATTTTTGTTATCTCAAAAGCAAGAAAGTATAGTATATTTTGTTGATACTATTTTAAAGTAGAGGGCAAATAATAATATTTAATAGGAGGGTTAGAGAACTGCAAGAAACAAATATTTTTAAAATATATCATTTTTTATCGATACTATTTAAAGTAGGGGGCAAATAATAATATTTTAGGATTTTCGTTCGGACCAGGGTAAGAGATTTGTTGGAAAAAATATTTTTATTATCTAAAAAACAAGAAATTATAGTAGTTTTTATCTATACTATTTTAAAGTTGAGGGCAAATGACATTTTAGGATTTTTGTTCAAACCGGGGTTAAAAATTTATTTTAATGATCTCAAAACCGAGTAGAGTATAGTATTTTTTAAAGATGCTATTTCAAAGTAGAGGGCCAAAAATAATATTTGCGGGAAAATTATTTTTATTATCTCAAAAACAAGTAAGGTGTGGTATTTTTTAACGATACTATTTTAAAGTAGAGGGCAAATAATATTTTAAAATTTTCGTTCGGAACGTGAAGTATATTAGTTTTTATCAATATTATTTTAAATTAGAGAGCAAATAATTATATTCTAGGACTTTGTTTCAGAGCCAGGTTAAAGGTTTGCGTGCAAAAAATTATTTTCATTATCTTAAATACGAAGTACCGTATTTTTTAACAATAACTATATTTTAAAGTAGAGGGCAAAAGATATAACAAGCCATCGCCTTAAATCGGGCGGCATCGCTATCACGAGATCAATGGCCACGTTGCCAAAATTTTAACGAAAATATTATTTTGTAATAGTTAGTTTTTTTGGTTTTGAGATATCGTTCGAATATATAGTTTATGAATATTATATATAGGTACAGGATTTTTGGATAAACCGTGGACGAAAAATTTTGCACTTTCCTGCTAATTACAAACAAACGGCTCGGCCGATCGTCTCGAAAAACTAATAAAATCGAGTTCTTATCCAGTTTTATCGAATAGCTTTTAAATTTTAGTAATCGGTACAGCCGTTTTTGTTAAAACGCCGATGAACGGTCAAAATATGATACACATTCATACGCGCGCGCATATTTTTAATTCGAGAAGTTAATTATCCTGGATAAATTTCATATTACTATTCTGAAGTTCGCATATTAACGGTATGTTCCCCCACTTCAGCAGGGCGATTCAATCATACTCTTCTTTTATCTATGGCTTCAATTCAATCCTTTTTGTGCAACCTTTGCATTGAGTCATTCTTTTTATAACATGTGGATTAAGTGCATCGAGTCGCTATTATTATAGTGTGTGGAATATTATAATAATAACGACTCGATGCACTAAAAGATAAAAACCATGGTTGAATAGTGCTACTGAAGCTGAGGGCTCCAACAGGCGATGTGGAAAATATATAACCTCTTCCAGGTATGATACACATGTGGTTTTATAATAATCTTCTTACATCCTCTCATCGTGTTTTAACTCTTGCACCACGTTGCCGTAAATGATTTATGTACATCAATACTAATACTTTTTAATATGAATTTTACCATTTTACCATTTTACGATCTCCTAAACCGCCTCTAACCTAATATTGCAAATTTTCAAAATCAACGACAAAGACTATGTTTTACTACCAAGAAATTTGGTGTGCATCCAATTACAGCGTCGTAGTAGGCGACAAACAATTCCGAAATCGCCACAACCACAAACTAGGTACCATACTACTTTGCAGACAGGAATCGATGAACAAGTGGCAGCCACTGCCTATTTCGATCTGGTTCTGAGGTCTGTTACAGAACCAGGACTGCTGAAGACTCTGGTGAAGTTCTTGCTGGATGATAATTACGATGGGACCAGGTTGCTGGATGTTTTGGTACAGAGATTGGACTCCGAGGACAGGGTAAGAAGGAAGGAAATAGACATCGGGTTCTTATGGACTCGATGAGCTTTTAAATTATAATTTACATTTCAATGAGTTATTTTTTTGTTATTCTTCGATACGTTTGCAAATACAAATTTATACAGTTGATTAATTTTATATGAATAGTTTTATGCTACTTATTTACTTGATCTTGTATTTTCAATTTTTAGCTTTGCTTAGTATCACTGGCTCTATTCGAATCGCTGATTGAAATTAACTGCGAGGACATAATGCTGGAACTGATTTTTAAATACTTGTTGAAGGGGGATCATCTTATAGTCGACAGGTAAATAATACTTAAATACACACACACAGATATATATATATATATATATATATATATATATTTATTTATTTATATATTTGGCAATCAAATTATAGATATAAATTATATCATATTATATTAAATTTCGAACCAAAAAGGAAATATTTTGGCATTCAAAAATTTAGTGCATATTGGATATATGAAATTGACATTCAATATTTTTAAATTAAATGCAAAAGTGAAAAATCTGATATTTATATAAACATTATATATTTAGATAATGGTACTGCGATGATTCAGACTAAAATCTAATTTATTCATTGATTAAAAATATTTCACTATTTGACATAAATAAAATTAAATTAAACAAAGCACTATGATGCGTTCAAATTAATTATCAAAATGTAAAGAAATTTGTGTAATAAAAATATAACATTGTTATTAATATAACATGTATATTATAAAAACTTCTGCAATGCGGCAAAATATTTTTGATGGCAAAACAGCGTTTGCCGGGTCAGCAGTATATATATATATATATATATATATATATATATTTTCTACTATATGTTTTTCTTGTTCGACGTCTAAACATATTGATATGTAGTAAAATTGCCAATATGGCGAAATAAAAAGAAATACTTATTTTATTTTAAACGATTTGAGACCAGATGTGTCTCATCATTCAGCATAAAAAGAAAAACAGAAACTAAAGCACAACCAAATAATCACTGTTAGTCGTGCTAACATAACCTCAGTTTTCAAGAATGTTTTTAAGTACTATGTCATTTTTACAATGGTCACAATTCACTTATTTGTGTTCTTACTTCTAATTAGTGCTTTATCTTAAGTATGTGACCAAAGAAACCTTTCCTCAAAATATTATATAGCACATTTATAAAAGTCACTTGGTTATTTATTATAAATTTTGTAATGTGCTCTTTTATTCAAAACTTTAATAATTACATTTTGTTTCATATAATCAATAAAGTTTAGAAAAACATTTTAATCGATATAGTATTTATAGTTATTTCTGGCACATCTCAGCTGCTTTTTGGCATTAATAATGTAGGCATTACATATTTTTTATTCATAATTATGAATTTATTATACATATTCTAATTTTGTCTAGGCTCATAAGTAAATTGAAATTATTTGGCACATGACAGTTTTTATTTGTTAGTGCTACATCTAAAGATATTTTTCCAATAAATTAGTTGCATTAGTATGTGACCAATAAAACCTTCTAATGCTTCTTTGCATCATAGAACGTATGTTAAAATGATAGCAAGGTAAATAGGATGTAGTTCTAAATAGTATTTAACACACTTATAAAAGTCACTTGGTTATTTATTATAAGTTTTGTAATGTGCTCTTTTATTCAAAACTTTAATAATTACATTTTTTTCATTAATATGAGTTTAGAAAAACATTTTAATCAATATAGTATTGAACGATCAGATTCAAAATTCAATCCGGATTTTGTTTATTAGATTGATATAAATTTTTATAACAAAAGGTTATGTCTACAATTTTTTAATACTAATATTTACCGTTTACCTAAAAATAATAAATATTATTTTTCAAATTACTCCTCACACCAAAATGCTTAAACAGCAATATGAGCGATGATAAATGTAGAACTGCTTTAAATAAAATGATGAATATCAATTCCCACACTATATTGGAAATTGAAGTCTTTTAAACTCAAAAAAGTAATATATAGTGTCCTTGGATTTTTTCAACCATTTTTATAATCTCGTATCATATTTTAACTGGTTTTTAGTAATTATAATATCTAAATTACATTTTCCTTAGTAATAATTCAATATTCATTATTACCCCTCTATTATTTTAGCTGTTTTAACAGTTTATTATTAAAATTATTATCATTAATTAATATTTGGCTTTTGAAACAATTTTACTTATTTATTTTGGGCATTTATAGAGACCAATAACAATTTTAGCCTTTCACTATTAAACACTGGTACTTCATGTTGAATTATTTTAATTTGATTTTTTATTAATTAAGATATCCAAAATTGTACCTTTAAGCTTCTTCTTATTGATATCATAAGGGTCGAATTGTATGTATTCATTTTTACTTTCCCATTTGCGGTTTTAAAATGAAATTTTTAATGTATTTCAAAAATATTGTGCAAAGATTAGTAAAACTGCAAATAAATTTATATATTTCTTGAATTATATTGAAAAAAAAAACTGTAAAGAAAATATCACATCCAAATCTTGTGCAACATTCAAGATAGGACCGGCACTGATTATTACTTAAGTTCATATTTCAAGTGAATTAATTTGTGAAATCCTTTTCATATTTGTATCATTCAATCTGCCATACATACTGTATCTTATATTATTTTAATTTCTGGCACATCTCAGCTGTTTTTTGGCAATAATAATGCAGACATTTCATTTTTCTTATTCATAATCATGAATTTATTATACATATTCTAATTTTGTCTAGGCTTATAAGTAAATTGAAATTTTTGGCAGATGACAGTTTTCATTTGCTTTCAATGCCGAACAATGTCTCAAATTTTTTCAATGTCAAACAATGACATGTCGTTTTTTTGCAATTTTTTCCATTTATTCCTACAATATTACTACATTTTTATAATTACATACGTCCTAAAAAATTTGCTTAAACTTCTGAAAGTTTTATCAAAATCCGGATAATTATTTTGAAGGAGTACATTTACATATATCAGAAGAATTTTATATATGATATAATTGTATATATATATATATATATATATATAATAAAATTTCGTTTTGTGTATATTACAGTCGGTTTACCCATTTCCTGGACGACATGAATTTTCAGAGTGTCGAAAAGTTTCTTGCACTGTCACCAAATATAATGCAATCATGTTCCAAATTGATAGATAGAGATCTGAATAAATCAACTTATGTGCAACCTGAAACACCACCTATTTCAAAAAATATGCCTACTAACTGGAATCACTATGGGGTAAGATAATATAAATTGTTAACATGTTCTAACTAACCTCTTCTTTTTGATTAAAGATCATGCTACTTTAAGTTTACTATTTAATAAAAACTGTTTTTCACAATAATATTTTATAAATAAGTTAACTTTTTTATTTCTTTTCAAATAACTTTTATTATTTTATCTTATTAACTTCCCGTAGGGCAAGTTATAATAATCGCAAAAAAATCGAAAATGAAAATTTTTGCATTTCTCGACGTTTCAAAGGTTTCTGAATATTTTGGCATACCTTAGAAAAAATGGATGTATGTGTGTGTGTGTGTATGCGTGTGTGTATGTATGTGCGGATACAAATTTGCGTCGACGATTTCGGGAACACCGATCAACCAATTTGAATAATTCAAAAAACATTCGATTCGTATTGATAAGGAGACGTGCTGATTAGTTTTTGGCGAAGGCAGGTCTAGCCGTTCCGAAGATACGGGGCAAAAAGTGCCGAAAATGGTAACTCAGTTTTTAAGAGAACGGAGCGTCCGATTTCAATAATTCAAAAAACGTTTTACTTGTATTGACAAGATGAAGAATCGATCAAATTTTCATGAAGGCAGGTCTAGCGGTTTCGGAGATCTAATAAAAAAAGTAAAAAAAAATGACATTTGGCGGTCAAAAATGATCATTAGACATATGCACATCAAATTATCAGATATTTTATAGAGATTTTAACAATAAGTATAATTTTGGTTTACATTCCTATGGGTTCCGTACCAATGTTTACGCGTTAGACGTCGACGCGGCGCTTACGCAGTTTGATATTTCGTCTTTATGCGGTTAAAGCAGTACGATTGCTTTGAAAAAAAAGTTTAGATCTTTCAAAATATGTCAAAATAAAGAAAACTTTCTTTTTTTCAAAAAAAATTATTTAAAAAAAATTTTTTTTTCAAAAAAAAGTAATTTTTTGTCTAATTGTTTGCCAAAAATCTTATTTTTTTCGAAGTAAATTTTTTTCAAAAATGTTAATCGTTTTTAAAAAAATAATCATTTTTTGGTACGGGAAGTTCCAGCAATTTGCCTTAAGGCACGATGCCTTAATTGCCTTAAGACAGAATTCCACTTACAGCTAGTTTTATGTAAATAAATAATATTGTTACATTCTGTATTATGTAATTTTGTTTAAGTGCCTTATTAATTTTACTATATATTGCAACTTGTTATCCATAATGTAAAATTATTGTATTTCTAAGTTCCCTTGGAAAAAATCTGTGGGCTATATATTTAAAAAATAAAATATAAATAAAAAATTAAATTAAAAATGGTTCTTTCTTTTTCAGTTATACTCTAGTGGAACCTTGTATCGTAATTACCACGCATATCTCTGCGATGCCCACCAAAAACTGGTAACATGTCAAAAAGCCTGTGAAGTATGGTCTAATCGTTACGATCACAGCCTAAAATCTACCAAACACACAACCAACAACTCCGACCATATATCTTCTTATCCTTTATTCAATGAACCAATAAAAACAAGCTTTACACCAACACCAACTAGTTTAATACAATCCGACCCTGCTCTATTGGACACTGTGAAGGAATTCCTTCACGAAGCAGCCAGTTTGAACTTGATCGAAGACGAAAATGCGATTTTGGAGCATTTGACTTCAGGAAATGATAATAATAATGAAGATTGTTCAAAGAAACAATTGGATAGTTTGCAGTCACTGGGTGATAGTAGTGGGTATGAGAGTTTTAAATATAAACCGGATGATTTTCTTGGAGCGGGAGGAGATGATGGGCATAGTAAGGATGTTAGTTGTCTTTCGGAAGAGGAGAAGGAAGTTAAAGCTAATATCATGTTTAGTAGTGGCGGTGATAGTGATTTAGTTGATGCAAATTGTATAGGTAAATAAATTGTGCACACAATTTCCTTTGATTTATATAAAAATATTATATCACTTTTATTATTTTTGCAGGTGAATTCCTGGCAATTCTATTTTCTAAGCTTCAAGCCATGCCTTCGAATTCTGTTTATGTTAATATTCATCTGACGGGACTTCTCTCCAGGCTGAGTGTGTTTCCACAAGATTTGCTTCGGACATTATTACTTAGTACTCATACTCATACCAAAGCACCAATTCGAACTGTATATCAGGTACATTATGTTTATTAAAACTACTTATATAAATTAAGATAGATTTCCTGTCCTGGAGTTTAAAATATCATTAAGTTGAAGTTGAAGGATCTATTAAGCTCTACAATATAGAAACATTTAAATATTCTACAATACTTTCATCATACAATCGATAATATTTTAAAATGATTTACAACGTTTTTAGATGATGTATGTCGTTTTTCAGATGGATTAAAACGTTTTCAGGCGATTTACAATATTTTTAAATAGTTTACAGCCATTTCAGATAAAGCTACAGCTTTTTCAGACAAAATACAACATTTTTAAACGATTTCCAACATTTTCAGAAGATTTACAACATTTTTAAACGATTTACAGCATTTTTAAGCAAGTTACAACGTTTAAAATCGGCTTTCAGACGATTTATGATGTTTTCAGAAGATTTATGAAGTTTTCAGACGATTTACAGCATTTTTTGATAGATTATAACATTTTCAGATAGTTTACAGCACTTTCAGACTTTATACAGAATTTTCAAATGATTTACAACATTTTCAGATAGTTACAGCACTTTTAGACGATTTAAAGCATTTTCAGGTGGTTCTTACAGCATTTTTAGTTGATTTACAGCATTTTCAGAAGGTACATAACATAATAGCGTTTTTAGACGGTTTACATAATTTTCAGACTTATCACAGCATTTACAGATGATTTACAACATTTTCAGATAGTTTACAGCAGTTTCAAACGATTTACGAAGTTTTAGACGATTTACGAGGTTTTTAGACGATTTACGGCATTTTCAAATAATTATTAATTAAATAAATAATAAGGCAGTATTTACAGAAATTTCAGACTGTTTACAACATTTTCAGATGGTTTACAGCAATTTCAGACAATTTATAACGTTTTCAGACAATATATAGTATTTTCAGATAATTTACATCATTTTCAGACAACTTACAGCAGTTTACAACATTTTTAGAAGATTTACAATATTTTCAGACAATTTAGAGTATTTTCAGACAACTTACAGTATTTTCAGACAATTTACAGTATTTTTAGACAATTTACAGTATTTTCAGACAATTTACAGTATTTTTAGACAATTTACAGTATTTTCAGACCAACTACAGTATTTTCAGACAATATACAGTATTTTCAGACAATTTACATTATTTTCAGACAATTTACAGTATTTTCAGATAACTTACAGTCTTTTCAGACAACTTACAGCGTTTTCAGACAACTTACAGCGGTTTGCAACATTTTTAGATAATTTTCAGTATTTTCAGACATATTTTCAGACACTTACAGCATTTTCAGACAACTTACAGCGGTTTACAATATTTTTAGATAACTTACAGTATTTTCAGACAATTTAGAGTATTTTTAAACATTTTGCAGTATTTTCAGACAATATGCAGTATTTTTAGACAATTTACAGTATTTTCAGATGGTTTGGAGCATTTTCAATCAATATACAGCATTTTCAGAAAGTTGATAGCATTTTCTATCAATTCGCAGCATTTTCAGACAATTTGCAAACTTTTTACCATCTTCAGTCGATTTACAGAATTTTCAGGCAATTTGCAGCATTTTCAGTCAATTTGCAGCATTTTTAGACAATCTGCAAACTTTTCAGACAATTAACAGCATTTTCAGTAGGTTTACAAAATTTTCATACTGTTAACAACATTTTCTGATGGTTTACACCAATTTCAGAAAATTTACAGCACTTGCAGACAATTTACAAAATTTTCAGACGTTTCACAATGTTCTTTACTACCTGGAATACTTAAAATATTAAAATATTTATTAATATATATATATATATATATATATTGTAGTCAATCATTTATATTATTCTTTTTTTTAGATCATCTTATCAGTACGAGAATACATCGACACAAGTCTATCAGTACAAGTACAAGATTCCGTTCAGATAGCAGAGCAAGCTCAAAGTTTTCTATTGGAAAGAGAATCTAGACTCGTGAATGCCAGAAAGAATGCCATCGAAGCAGCCAATAAGAATAGAAATCAAGCTGCCAATAGTGGTGCAATACTTGGAGGTACAATGATAAAACACACTTCGTTATTAATAAACTATTTAAATTTATGTTATTTAACAATATTACTAGATGTTAATAATTTAACAGTTGTAATACTTATACTAATGATTCATTATTATTATGTTATAATTTTTGCCAGGCACAAATTCTTTCGACACAAGATATCGAGCAGTTGAAAGCAACAATAGGACTGCTTTAGCAGCTCAATATAGTTCAACAAATTACGATCCGTTTAAAAGAAATGAACCCAAGCGAAAAAGCATAAGTACATCACTGACGCAAATATTTAAACGGACGAATTTAAATTCAGGTAAATTTAATTGTAAGATATTTATTTAATATATTTATTATTTATTCATACATTTTTTCATTCGGTTTTGCTCGAAATGAATGGTTTGTTTTGAATTTTTGAGATTGATGCAGCTCAAAAGAGAATTTTTTAAACTACATAATGGAGGAATATTTTTATTCCTGTTTATTGTAACCCAAAAAGCATCCAATATAAAATATTTTATTTGTCAAGTGTTTCTTTATTGTAAAACTTAATCAGAAAATTATTTTAATTGCAATTTCCAACCAGAAGGTTATTTCAATTGCTTAGTAGAAGCTTTGTATTTTGAACCTAAGATAATAATAATTTTAGAAAAAATAAGAGGAAAAACTTTTTAACTTCCCGAAGGAGAAGTTTATGTTTTCATTATTTCTCAAATGATAGTTGAAAATTGGAATTGCGTTTTAGTCGACTCGTATAGTTTCTTTAGGATTCGTTAACTTTATAAACTATTAAACTATTATGAAACTATTAAAATAAATATCTAAATTTAGCATATTTTCAGTTGCATTATGATAATTAAATCTTTTATCTTTTTGAAGTAAAACTTCTTTAGGCGCGACATGGGTGTAAAGTAATCGCTTGCATGATTCGCGCTTACGACTCTAGTAAGCGCAGCTATCGCATTATTCGAGCGAGCAAAACAAAAAATACATCAAATGTCAATCATATGTCAATACAAACAAAAATGTGTCGACTTTCACTTGAGTTTTGTATTTAGCTCGTAGTCTCTAAACATTTTTTGAAGTAAAACTTCTTTAGGCGCGACATGGGTTAGCAGTATAATTCGTGAGTTAATAAAATGTCAGGATCGGAAGAATTTTTATCCCGTCCCCCATAAATAATTGTAGTGCAAATGATCGCAAATAAATAATGAAACTAAGGAAAAATCTGCGCTGCGTAAGAATTGATAGCTTTGGCTATGTATGTTTTGTGTGTGATCGACTTTGGCTTCAAAGCGACTTAGAAATATCAAATGATGCTCAAAAACAAATTCTTAATAATGTTTTTTTGAATATTGATTTAAATAATCAGGTTGGGTGTCAAACTTGTCGAAAGATATTAAATTCGGGTAAAATTCCCACTTTGTGTAAATTTAACGAGTTTGTATTTTCACCTATACCAAATTATCTACCTAAACTAGATACTGTATCTGAAAGGTTAATTTCACCGAGGTTGTGTTTCATGCAAATTAGACGATTGCGACATGCAAATGGACAATTCGGAATGTTTGGCCAAATTATAAATGCGCCTGTTGACATTTATAATATGGTTAATTTATTACCTCGTAATATTTATGATGATCATTGCATTAACATTCACATAAAAAAGAAAATGATTCATAGATCAAGCTATGTGCAGGACTTGATAAATAAAACAAATATAAAAGTATGGCTTCAATTTGTTAGGCAAGACGGATATTACAGGTGTTCAAGGAATGAGATTATATCGTCAGCGAAAAAGTAAAAAAATACAAACAGTAAATGAATGTATGTTAATTTTAATTACACTAAGTTCTTCAAACACAATTGTTACAGGATGAGTTAATTTGCAAAAACAATATTTGTTTAGGCGTTGTTTAACATAATCCACTGTGTGAATGAATATTATAGAATTTATTAATCAGCAATTACTTTAAAACGATCATGTCATATTTCAAGTACGACTTTGATTACATTATTGTTCACAATCATAAATATATAATTTATAATTTATCATTATATAAATGTGTATAATGGTTGACGGCACTAATAAATGTGTGCATCACGAGTGTTACCATATTACTAATAATCATTATTCAAAATTTTTATATGATGTATTTATTTTTACTCAACTTAAATTTGCTACTTTATACAGTAGCAAATAAGTTTTACTTCAATCGCGTGTGATCCTTACGCGCACTCTTTTTCTTTTGAGCTGTATCATTATCAGTGCACTTGCCACACCATTTTATTATTTATCACATATCATATTTATGAATGTCTGCATATATGAATTGCAATGAATCAGAAATAATATTGTATTTTTCTCTTTTTTGCATTTCATCAACAGCGTCCACGGGTTTATCATCGATTTACGAATTCTTCAAGGGTAAATACACAAAAACACCATTTTAAACGGAATTAATATTAATAATTGCATGATAAATGTTTTAAAATAAATTCTACGTGGTGTATCTATGCGGTTCTGTTAGTTAAGATATTGTTATGAATTCACCAAGGGTTATTAAGTATTTATATAAAATTCTAAAATGTGAAAAAACTATCATGGTCCACAAATTTTGTTTTTAAAATAAATTTTGGTTCATATTGTTTAAAAATATACTCAACAAATTTATAAAATTGCTGCAGGTTAGAAAATGTTGATTCATTGGTTTTGTACAAATTTGCCAAAAATTATTTTTAAATTGTACAATTATATTTTTCATTAAAATCTAAATATTGGTAAACATATTTCGCTAATGAGAAATTTCATTCAAAAATTGTATTTATTATAATAGAATTCGAGTTTTTGAGAGAATTGAGTATCCAATTTAAATTATCCAAAAAACATTCAATTTGTAATGATGAGGGGAAGTTGTGTTTAGTTTTTGGCAAAGGCAGGTCTAGTCATTTCGGAGATACGGAGCTAAATGTACAAAATATGGCAGTTTTAAATGATTCAAAAAACTTTCTGCTTGTGTTGACGAAACAATTGCTTTTGGGATTTTTCTTTTTTTCAAAATTAAAATTGTATTTTACCAATTTTTTCGAAAATAATTCGGATTGTTGATTAATTGGTTTTGTACAAATTTGCCAAAAATTATTTTTAAATTGTACAATTATCTTTTTCATTAAAATCTAAATATTGGTAAACGTATTTCGTTAATACGAAATTTTATTCAAAAATTGTATTTATTATGATAGAATTCGAGTTTTTGAGAGAATTGAGTATCCAATTTAAATTATCCAAAAAACATTCAATTTGTAATGATAAGGGGAAGTTGTGTTTAGTTTTTGGCAAAGGCAGGTCTAGTCATTTCGGAGATACGGAGCTAATTGTACAAAATATGGCAGTTTTTGAAAGAACTAAACATCCGATTTAAATGATTCAAAAAACTTTCTGCTTGTGTTGACGAAACAATTGCTTTTGGGATTTTTTTTTTTTATTTCAAAATTAAAATTGTTTTTTACCAATTTTTTTCGAAAATAATTCGGATTTTAATTTTAATTTCTTCATAATCTTTTATATTTTGTCCATAAAATAAGAATAATTAAAGTTACAGTATTTATAATAATCTATTTAAAAACATTTAATATTCCTCAAATATTTTCTCACGGTACGGGAAGTTCCAGCAATTTGCCTTAAGGCACGATGCCATACACCACTAGTTCTAATTACAATCAAAATAGGTTCGAGTGGACACATTACTAGTATATCTTTATTGATTATATAAATATTTGAATAACCCACCTTGGTGAATTTATGATAATTCTATTATCTGTAACGTCTATTTTTTTTAATATTTTATAACTCGGGATTTTATATTATGTTTTGCATGATAAACCGGTAACAAAAAATTGAAACAACATATAATTTTATGTATGAGATTTTCAAATTTATATTTGCATGTTTATTAATATTTCATCTGAATGATTTCTTAAAGAAATATTTTGTTTTGTATGTGTGTAATGAAAAATAATGTTC